AAGAAAGAAAGAAAGAAAGAAAGAAAGAGAGAGAGAGAGAGAGAGAGAGAGAAAGAAAGAAAGAAAGAAAGAAAGAAAGAAAGAAAGAGAGAGAGAGAGAGAGAGAGAGAGAAAGAAAGAAAGAAAGAAAGAAAGAAAGAAAGAAAGAGAGAGAGAGAGAGAGAGAGAGAGAAAGAAAGAAAGAAAGAAAGAAAGAAAGAAAGAAAGAGAGAGAGAGAGAGAGAGAGAGAGAAAGAAAGAAAGAAAGAAAGAAAGAAAGAAAGAAAGAGAGAGAGAGAGAGAGAGAGAGAGAAAGAAAGAAAGAAAGAAAGAAAGAAAGAAAGAAAGAGAGAGAGAGAGAGAGAGAGAGAGAAAGAAAGAAAGAAAGAAAGAAAGAAAGAAAGAAAGAGAGAGAGAGAGAGAGAGAGAGAGAAAGAAAGAAAGAAAGAAAGAAAGAAAGAAAGAAAGAGAGAGAGAGAGAGAGAGAGAGAGAAAGAAAGAAAGAAAGAAAGAAAGAAAGAAAGAAAGAGAGAGAGAGAGAGAGAGAGAGAGAAAGAAAGAAAGAAAGAAAGAAAGAAAGAAAGAAAGAGAGAGAGAGAGAGAGAGAGAGAGAAAGAAAGAAAGAAAGAAAGAAAGAAAGAAAGAAAGAGAGAGAGAGAGAGAGAGAGAGAGAAAGAAAGAAAGAAAGAAAGAAAGAAAGAAAGAAAGAGAGAGAGAGAGAGAGAGAGAGAGAAAGAAAGAAAGAAAGAAAGAAAGAAAGAAAGAAAGAGAGAGAGAGAGAGAGAGAGAGAGAAAGAAAGAAAGAAAGAAAGAAAGAAAGAAAGAAAGAGAGAGAGAGAGAGAGAGAGAGAGAAAGAAAGAAAGAAAGAAAGAAAGAAAGAAAGAAAGAGAGAGAGAGAGAGAGAGAGAGAGAAAGAAAGAAAGAAAGAAAGAAAGAAAGAAAGAAAGAGAGAGAGAGAGAGAGAGAGAGAGAAAGAAAGAAAGAAAGAAAGAAAGAAAGAAAGAAAGAGAGAGAGAGAGAGAGAGAGAGAGAAAGAAAGAAAGAAAGAAAGAAAGAAAGAAAGAAAGAGAGAGAGAGAGAGAGAGAGAGAGAAAGAAAGAAAGAAAGAAAGAAAGAAAGAAAGAAAGAGAGAGAGAGAGAGAGAGAGAGAGAAAGAAAGAAAGAAAGAAAGAAAGAAAGAAAGAAAGAGAGAGAGAGAGAGAGAGAGAGAGAAAGAAAGAAAGAAAGAAAGAAAGAAAGAAAGAAAGAGAGAGAGAGAGAGAGAGAGAGAGAAAGAAAGAAAGAAAGAAAGAAAGAAAGAAAGAAAGAGAGAGAGAGAGAGAGAGAGAGAGAAAGAAAGAAAGAAAGAAAGAAAGAAAGAAAGAAAGAGAGAGAGAGAGAGAGAGAGAGAGAAAGAAAGAAAGAAAGAAAGAAAGAAAGAAAGAAAGAGAGAGAGAGAGAGAGAGAGAGAGAAAGAAAGAAAGAAAGAAAGAAAGAAAGAAAGAAAGAGAGAGAGAGAGAGAGAGAGAGAGAAAGAAAGAAAGAAAGAAAGAAAGAAAGAAAGA